TGCGTGTGCGTGTGTGCGTGCGTGTGCGTGTGTGCGTGCGTGTGCGTGTGTGCGTGTGTGCGTGCGTGCGTGCGGGCGTGCGTGCGCGACTTTCACCTCGCTCTGGGCGATGGAGAGATCGTTCTCGAGCTTGGACTTGACGGCTAGCACTCCGTTGAACTGTGACGTCAGCTCCTCGACGCGCGAGTGCGAATCCTGCAGTTCAATCTCGAGGGTCTTCTTAGCACGGACAGCCTGAAAAATACGTCACGAGTGACGTCACGAGTCACGAATGACGTAATCAGAGCGCGGTTTTCTGTACGGTCTCGGTTAATGCTTAGCTGGGTTCTATGTTCTAACATGAAATTCTCTGTTTCCACCTGGTATTCTATGTTGTTCTGAGCTGGTATGCGTACATAGATTATATGTATACACCTAGTATTCTATGCTCACACATGATATTTGATGTTCTCAGCTGGTATTCTATTGCTTTACCTGGTATTCTATATTTTTACCTCGTATTCTATATTTTTACCTCGTATTCTATATTTTTACCTCGTATTCTATATTTTTACCTGGGATTCTATATTTTGACCTGGGATTCTATATTTTGACCTGGGATTCTGTGTTCACACCCAGTAATCTATATTCACACCTGGTATTCTATATTTCTCACCTGGTATTCTATGTTCTAACCTGGTATTCCATGTTTTTATCTACTCTTTTATCATTTAACCTGGCATTCTAAGTTTTCACCTGCTATTCTACGTCCTGACCACGTCTCACCTGTCATTATATTAACTTACATGTTCGAAGCTGGTCCTGACGTCATCAAGCTCAGTCTGCAGCGACTGTGCGCGCCTTGCGGTGACGTTCAGCTGGTCGATGGTAGCCTGCAGCTGGTGCTGGCTCTCATCGTACAAGCTCTGCAAGTCCTGCAACACAGACAACAACATGGCGTCAGTGGGACAGTAGAAACATGACGTCAGTGGAAAATTTAAGTGGATTTAAATTTCAGAAATAGCTGGTGCTGGCTCTCATCGTACAGGCTCTGCAAGTCTTGCAAAAACCCACAAACATCGGGGGAAGTTTGTGTAGAAATATGGCGTCAGTGAGAAATTCTTAATTGAAACATGGCTTAAGTAGAACATCTCAGTGGAATTTATGGCTCTGATAAAAATCTCAAAATAAAATTCCGCTTTGCTAGAAAGTCTCAATGTCTCTCCCTAGTACAATATCTTACTGGAAACATTGCCTCTGTAGAAAGCCTCAATAGAAACATGGCTCTATTAAAGGTCTTAGTAGAGTAGATGGCCGCAGTAAAAAGTTTTAATTGCAAAACAACCTCAGGAAAAAGTTTTATAATGGCAAGGTGACCCCAATAGAAGTGGCCATGCAAACATGGCTTAGTAGGGTTTTCCGCGGAGAATTTGCTAACCTCTACAGCAAAGTTCTCGGCTAAAACCTTGTAACGACTACTGCCACTGCGCAGGCATCGATTAAAAAAACGAAAAAAACAAATTGCTTTTACTTAATGCTCTTAGTGCGTGTGCAAAAACAAAATCACGGAATAGCACGCAGCACGTTGTTTGTCTCGGTTGCAATCGACATTTACTGTCTTGTTTGTGCGAAATGTCTAATCGATTCATTCTCATTAGCAAAGTTCTCAGCTAATTCTCATGAGCAAATAGGCCTACATTAGCCATTATCAATTACATACGACAGGAGTTCTGAATGATGCTTGCTTGCTACACGCAGAAACGTGGATGGACGCCTGGACTACAAACTAAAATTTACGCTTGTCGCGAACAGAAACAAAAATGCGTTCTTGTTACAAAACAAAGATGGCCACCAGTTCAGTACAGAAGCAAAAAATAGACGCCTGCTGTCGCGGTAACAATAATGAAACTTATATATTTAAACACGTGTGTTATCTATGATCTCTGTGATTCTTGAGTTTATTGAAGCGCGAGTGGTTTAATTAATTATAGCAAGTATCTACGCGCGGTATGGCACAGGCTAATATACGCACGGCTATGAGCGGTAAGAAAGTGTATAATTAAACTATCATATGGCGCGAACGATTTGAGTAACATTTCTAGAAATCTAGATACATATAAACACATGTGTTATCTATGATCTCTGTAATTCTTGAGTTTATTGAAGCGCGAGTGGTTTAATTAATTATAGCAAGTAACTACGCGCGGTATCGCACAGGCTAATATACGCACGGCTATGGGCGGTAAGAAAGTATATAATTAAACTATCATATGGCGCGAACGATTGGAGTAACATTTCTAGAATTTTGGATAAACATAGACACATGTCTTAGCTATAATCTCTGTAAATTTTGAGTTTATTGAAGCACGATTAGTCTAATTAATTACTACGGACCATTGTATAGCGTATCCATACAGTGCTGTACTTGAGCGGCAGCGGTGTGGATCCATTTGGAAATCATATGGCGTTCAATCCTGGGTTGTCGCAACTCTTTGTATATAGGGACCCTATTTCCTGCCCCTGTCTGTCTCGCTCTCTCGCTGTTTCTCGCGCACAATCTCTCTTGAGAGCATTATATCTTATTCACAAAGAAAACAAACCTGAATTTTAAATCTAGCTTTAGAGTGAAGCTGTCAAATCGGCTTTTCGGCTCGTGTCACTTCATAACATAAGCTAGCAGTGAAATATCAGGGGCCGTTGTCAGAAACAAAATTAGTCTTAACATTAGTCTTAACATTAACTTCCACTCATAAACCGTTGACAGAAACATCGTAATGTTACGAGAACGAAAAATCCTCGAAAATATCCTCTTAACATTACGAGAGCCCAGACCTTCTGGTAACTTTAATATTAAGATAAAATAACAAATTTACACTACGAATTACAATTATAATGATATTATATTTTATAATAATGAGTAAGGTGTGTGTGTTTTTCTTTAAAAACACGTCAAAAACATTCATTATCTACCGATCATAAAACAAAACAAAACATTTACAAATGGCGTATGGCATCTGTTCTCTTGTTTTAATGTTGTTTGCCACTTGCCACGACTTTCGCGTCTCGTGTTACAGTGTGAGAATTTGTCTTGTTGTGCAGAATAAATTCATGACGGCGTCGTTTTTCATTAAATATTATTTATATGTGATTAGCCATCATAATATGCATATATTAATGTGATGTACAATAAATGTGCATGAATTTGAATTTTGTGATCGATTCTCATCCAATCAGCAGCCTTGGGATGAAGTTCCTGTTATCGTAAGTTTTCTAATAGTTGCGATATGTTTGTGTCAACGCTCCTCTCGTACATTAACATTAGTCGTAAGTGTTATCTTAGCATTAACATTAGCATTAACTTGACGATGTTTCTGACAACGGCCCTTTGAATTTTAAATCTAGCTTTAGAGTGTAGCTGTCAAATCGGCTTTTCGGCTCGTGTCACTTCATAACATTAGCTAGCAGTGAAATATCTTATATATATTTGCACTATGCACATCAGCACTGTGTGTATGTGTATGTATGTATGTTTGTATGTGTGTGTGTGTGTGTGTGTGTGTGTGTGTGTGTGTGTG